GGGGGGTAAATTTGGAGCAGGTTCGGATAAAATGATAGACAGCTGTTCTTCATGATGCACTGAAAACCAGAGCATCTACTCATGCTGCAGTCAGATAGAGACCAATTCATTTTTCTCTTCGACAACCTTTACGTTTAGTTCGGACATACTAAATTCATAGCCACGCTGCATAACATGCAGAATGGTAATATTGTGAGTTCTACTCAAAATTTTCATGGCGATTCTGTGAATGAATCTCCCCCAACACGCCCAGCGTATACAATTCCGTATACTGACCCGTTTAGGTACGAAATAAGATCACGACATGTGGCAAGAAAAGACTAGGTGGGTTCTACTAATGACTTGGATTTGTATGTGGGCGATTGTCCTCTCGCTCCTCAAACAGACCCAAATCGGCAAATTGGACGGAATTCACAATAACATCGAACTCGTTATCGTTAGGGTATCCTTGGTTTCTGGTCGTCTTGTTCTCGATTGGCGATGCTCAGAACGCCGTGTGGGTATTTCTCAACAAGCATTTACCACCAGAATGATTGCGACCTGAGCAAACTTCGAGCACTTTGATGGATGAAAACTTTTACTGCAATCTGCTTCACGCTTGGTACACGCACCAGACGCGTAGGCGCACTGTATGGCACTAGCAATCACAGCTTCACTGAGAAAGCTGGTTATTGGGTGGACAAAGACCACACCTCTAGTTGATCAACCTATGCCCAAATAGGCTGAAGTCAGCAACGGAAATGAAGACTGCTCATCTATGGCCCAAGGATCGTGATTTGAGCTGTACTGTACAACTGGTACATACAAATCAGAACTGCTCATGTTGAGTATGCAAAACTACGTCTAATCTCAAATCTCACACTGACGCCGCTACTTTGATGAGTCCTATCAACAACCGTTGGGCTTAATGTGATACAATATTGCTTTATGAGAATGGAACTCTAGATATTGTACAAGAAGGAGAATATTTTGAGGATAGGCAATGATTACAGAGGCGACTTGCTAGTGACGACTATTGTATCGGTAAGGTTGCCACGAAGTGAGCCTAACTTTGCATATACGTGTAGCGTAGACTTGAAGATAGTACGACAGATTTCAAATCACTGTTATCATTTTGAAAAGTACGGTAGCGTCTCAGTGTTTGCATGCTGTAGAAGATCAGTACAACCCCCTACGCCAGAGTTGCTGGACTGTCGCACTGCGCGAAGAGGACATAAAATACAATTGATGAGTACACCTATCGTTTAGTATGATCCAGATTCCCTGTCTCTTTTGGAGTAGAGCTTGAACATAAAGTTTATAAGTTTGTCCTAGAAATGTTGTAATATTTTAATTGATAAACAACCAAAAATTTTGCCCCTATTCAGTCACCAAATTCAAAGTGCAGTATGCATGTGCACCCTACTGTCAGTAGCTTCGTCAAAACCTACTCTTCGTCTGTGATCATGCCGAGGGCCTGATGGTTACGCATTTTCTATGTCACGATTATCAAGCAAATATCAGTGGTATTCCAGAATATTACGCTTCTCTTTTTAAAAAAAAGTATACATATTATACCATTACTACAAAAATGAGACCGATAAAACTGTATGAAGGCTTATCTAGTACTGTGGCCTACCTCGTGTACACCGCAGTAATTGCTTCAGGCGAAGACACGACGGAAGCTTGCGATTCGTATTGATAAAGGATTTGTCGAAAAGCGTTGGCTCTGCATTGAGTTTGTTTCAGCAGTGCCATTGTTCAAATTCCTTTCGAGCTCGCAAGACCCACCTAAACTACAAGCACATGCGTCTATCTAAAATCTTGATGACGCTAATTGCGTCTTTCCTGGTTGCCAACGAGTCGTTTTCTTTCGCCACTTCCGGTCAGGGCTTCACCCCAATCGAACCATGTCAGCGCTCACTGCGTGCTCGTCAATCGACTACTAAAGATAGCGAAGATTCCGAAGCAAGAACTCTGGACAACAAAACCATGATGGAGATGATGACAAAACTGATAACGAAGGAAGAGCATGCTGCCGATTTGGGTATTTTGGACGATATCATGAAGCTCACCACGACGAATGGAGGCGGATTGACGCAATTCATGAAGACTGTTGCGTACAAAAAGCACATTGCCTACGTAGACTTCTTGAACACTATGAAGCGTAAGAAAGAATATGCGGAGTTGGTGGCAAAAATCAAAGAAAAAAGCAAAAAGATGCAGGGCATCCTAGCGGAATAGTAAACGCGATCGAGTGCGGAATCCAAAATCTACAACGCCGGAATGATAATAGAATCCGTTTTTCGTTCTCTTTCTGACAGCCTATTTGTTTTCTGCAATTGTTGAAGGGTGCTTCCTATATCATATTATTTCCGCCACGCTTAAATATGACTAGATTTCAAACGTGTTTTAGATTCCATTTATGAGTAAATAAATGAACTCGCTCTACGAGATTACACGTTCGGAGTTTGATTGCAAATGCAGTATCAGCATTAGACCATACTGTTGCAGCCAAGAATCTATAGTTTGACTGGTTAAATAACCCCACCTATGCCGCCAACTAATCCATCAGTGAGTACGGATATAGGAATCGTTGATTTCCGACCAAGAGACCAAGGCTACTACAAATACATGTACTATTGCTAAAAACAAGCATCACTCATATCACAATCAGACCCTTTGCTTCGCTCCATTTCTACGATCTTCGGGTACCTGTTCATTGCTATCAAACCTTATAAAGAACACTTACTCTTACTCCCAATAAGTTGACGGCGATATAATAAATACGAGGTTTATCACTAAAAGGCGTTCGTTTCGAATTCAGCAACTTCGAATGTCGATGAGTGTTTGCTGGTAACTCGATTGTCGTTTGCCCCCGTCAGCGGTCATGCATGTATCGCTGGTTATCCACACCCATAGACTTGACAAACTCCAGTATATTATTCCATTGTGGCTCCACTGCGTTTATATTTTATCAACCAACGAGTACGGATGATAAATTGTCGTTCATGAGAACAAACCTTGTTGGTATCGAGGCGATTGACAGGTCTTACAGTAAAATCGGTAATATTATCGTACTTTATGAAATGTACGTCCTATATGAAACCTGGGCTGGGCGATGTGCGCGAGGACGACCTTTACTACGGTGGCATTGCTTTTAGTTTTGTTTTGATCAGGACACTTCGCTGTGGCGGATTAGCTACTTCACTGCTGTGAGAGCATTACTTCGCTGAATCCACGTATAGAAACACTGCTAGTCAGTTCCTGTACGCCGTTATGCGTATTATCTCTCCATTCCAACATCAGTAAACAAATCCCAGTCCTTCGTAGTAAGTAATTATGGTAACGCTATTTGCTTAATAACTATAATGGATAAGTAATGTACCCGCCCACCGTTCTCCAATGTCTGGAATTGAGAGATTTAAAAAGCGTATGGAGTGCTAGATAAGTGGGCAGAGGTGTGTGTGGGTGAGACTATCACCATGGAAGTGCCTTTGTCATTTGCAACAACAAGTGGTTCAAGTCTTGTCATCAGTTCACAATGTTGGCAGTACCGCGTTAAGGCGACACAAATCGAAGAGTATCGAGTCGAGAAAAAGTCGCTCGAATGCATGTGCCATCATCATCGACACGCGTAATCATTCCATTCGAAGTCAATTCGGTCTTCAGGAACATCAAGCAGAAACGTTATCGTGTTTGCGCAACTACGTTGGATCCTTCGGGTCACTGACTAAGCGTTCTCAAGCTGAATGCGCAATTTTATTCAACAAATTCCCAGAGGAAGTTTTGAAGACCGTGTTCAAACTTCAACCACGCATTAGTACTCTCACAAGTTACCCGCCTCATTTTTCTCCGTGCGATAAAGTACATTTAACAACTTGCCACAGCTCGATAGATCAAAAGAGCGAGCTCTTGTTGGAATATGACGAGTGCTGTGGAGTCAGTCTTCCGCGTGATCGCGTCCTGTACGTCACTTATGATGACTCTAAGCCCAACTCCAGCAGTCTTCAAAATCTACAAGACCAAGTCTATCGGCAACACTAGCATCGTCTCGCTCGTCTCTGTTTTCGCAAACTGTCACGTGTGGACGCTGCAGGGTCTGCTCACGAACAATTGGTTCCCTGTATTCACTACATTCGTGTCTGGAGACTTCATTGCGACTATTTACGTGATTGTGTTCCTCCGATACACAGCTGATCGCTGGAAAGCTTGGAAAGTCATCGCAATCTATGCGTGCGTACTGTCGATCATTACTCTTTATGCTGTGCTCGGAGGGCTGGGCGTTTTCACGAGTTTGACGCGAAACCAGGTGAACGATATCATGGGCTATCTCGCCGTGTGTGTGACGTTGGTTCTCTATAGCTCTCCGTTCTTAAAGATCAGGGAAGTGGTAAGATTTAAGACGGGGGTCTTTATCCCGATTCACATGGTGATCGCTGGAACGATAAACAATGCGATGTGGATCACATACACGCCTATGTCTGGGCTCTGGTTCCTCTTCGTGACCAACGTTTGCTGCGCCACGCTCGGCGTCGCACAGCTCACGGTGTACATGATTTACCATCCAAGAAAGCACCCGCTTGGATTTGGTGCCACGATGGATGATCTACTCGAGAAAGAATCAAGTGACAACCTGTCTGTCCGAATTGACAGGCCATCGAGCATTCCTGCAACCAACAAAGTGGCTTCGGAGAGCCCCGCGTATCATACGTTAGCATCTCCGTCAGAAACCACGCGCTGGACTAACTAAATACACCAGAAAAATGTCGCTTTTCGGCTCTTTCTTGATAGGGAAGGGATTTCCAAGACGATCGTAGAGTGGATTTAGCATCGATAGTTGAAATCAGAGGCGCGGGGAGGTCAAGCGTCACCGCTACACGAAATGACGTAACCGAGTTTCGTTCATTTCACGACGGATCTCAACGACGCCCCGCAATCAGTTTCAACAATCCGCAATCACCGAACGTAACTAAAAACTGTAACTTTGGTATGTTGACTTCCGGCGTATTAGGAGTTTGAATAGGACTGCGTCTGAAGCCTTGTGCACCAGCGATAAGCTAACAAAATGACAACTATGTTATTCATATCCGTGTCGTCGCGCTCCCGGTTAAATACGTATTTTAGCATCGAGTGTTACTGAAAGCAGTATCCGTTTTATAACAATAGAGCCAACAACAAACTATAAGGTTTTCAAGCGCATCTCCAACGCCACTCATTCAATAAATGCAGTTCAAACCCGCATCTGCTCAACTCGGTGGCTATGGAACGAGATCCTCACGGAAAATTAAGCGCTGGCTGCCAAGCCCGAGCGCTTCAACTCATCCTTGTGTGATACTGGGTAGGGTTGTACTGTTTAATGTTGCACCTTCCTTAAGTCGTAATAAAAGAATATCGGTACCATTGTAGTAGGTTTACTGTTCAGCAAAAAACTTCGGTATAATGTCGTTTGGTCTCACATTCTCCGACCTGAAGAGAATTTTACACAACGAGATATATTTCTTCACACAATTCTCTCATCTTTTAGCTGAGAACACAACAGCGAGATCATTTAGAAACGGTATGTTGAAGTTTTTTTTATTTCTCGACAGTTTTTACACTTGGCTACAAAAATTCGCTAGTGAAATCAAGATAAAGTACAACATACGGGTCAACGTCTAAAGTTAAACAAACATTAGCCCCTAGTTTCTATTTGTGATAAAGTAGCCTCGTTTTACAGACTAGGGCTGAAAAATTTAGTTGTAGGTACCGTTGGTCCTCTTCACCGATTCAGCGTATACTTAGACAAACTGCCAGGGAGCCATCGAAAGATACTTTTGCATGTAAGATGTACACATATTTGAACAACCTGACGCAATTCAGACTAATAGCGAGGCGTCCCGTAAATACTTTTTCGATATTTGTGTGCGTACACACTAATAGAAATGCAACCGTATCAAGACGTTAGAAATCCCCCGAGCGGTCACCAATGTCGAGAGAGCAGTGGCGTGCTAAGGTACACAGAGGGTGGCGAGCGGTGTGTAGCGTTGTGTATGGTGAGGTGGTGGAAATCGCGTGTAGCTAACTAGGTAACTATCTGGTGAGATAATGGCTTTGATTGCGGCAGTAACTGCGGCAACGATCATTCAGCGCAGCTTAGAATGGCAAACAGTTCGCTGTGTGTGGTGAACAGGAGTAGCAGTCGCCGCCAGGCCACAAGCAACGCATGATGGTGATCGCTGTACTGCACCGCGAGTGATTAGCTAGAGATGAGTTAGTGGGAACTGAGCAAAGCGAGCACTACATGCCTTTATGTACAGCTTGCACTAAGCATTATTTATTTCTTTGTTGAGGTTTAGACGGCAAACCTCGCCTAGGGACTTGATCGTTTTTAGATCGAATGGGTCCGCGGTAGCCGCCTATTCAGTGCGCAATAAGCACTGCTGTGTGTGTGTGTGTTTTGTTACATTGAAATTGATGCTATTTTTGTTGTTGTGGAAGTGTGGAATGAAGAGAGAGAGAGAGGG